GTTGAAAGCAGTGGGTCAGCAAAAGATTCTGAGGAGGAGAGAGTCCAAACAAAGAGGTTCAGGAGATCTGAGGAGGAGCAGACATCCACCAGTAGCGCAGTGGCGAGTACAAGCAGCACATCAGAATGTATTTTGGGATGTAATTTGGGGTATGTGCATACTATGTGTTAGAAATATCTTATAAATGGACAACTTGGTTTAAAAAAAATACATGTTCATTTTCTTTCCACATTTTCTGAAAACTTGTGGAAAAAATGACATGTTTAAAAGACCCATTATGCCTCATAGGATATACATTGGGGTGTTTGCCTTCCAAAATGGAGTTATTTTGTGGCTAACTCCATTGTCCTGGTTCTCCAGGGCCTTCAAAAATGTGATAGTCAGGAAATGAGATGTGTAATTTATGCCCCAGAACACCTGTAGGTACTACTTGGATGTTGGGTCTCTGTATGTGACCAGGCTGTAGAAAAGTCTTACACGTGTGGTATCCCCATACTCAGGAGGAGCAGCAGAATGTGATTTGAGGTGAAGCTGAGAGTATGCATATGCTGTGTGAGAGGAATAACCTGTTAATATAACAATTGTGTGAAAAAAATAATATTATTTACTTTCTTCATTTTTCAAAGAATTGTGGGAAAAAAAAAAAATTACAGGTTGAAAAAACTCACCATGCATCTTACTAAATACTTTGGAATGTCACCATAGCTTGTAGACTTTCACACAGACCAAATAATACACACCAATTAGGATTTTTTTTACCAAAGCAATGTAGTAGTATACATTTTGGTCCACATTTATGAAGAAAAATTACTTATTTGCAAAATTTTATAACAGAAACAAAGAAAAATTTGTTTTTTTTTTTTTTCAAAAATTTCGGTCTTTTTTAATTTATAGCACAAAAAAGAAAAATCCCAGTGATAATTAAATACCACCAAAAGAAAGCTCTATTTGTGTGAAAAAAAAAAAAAAAAAAAAATCATTTGGGTACAGTGTTGCATGATTGAGTAATTATCATTCAAAGTGTGAGAGCGTTGAAAGCTGAAAATTGGTCTGGGCAGGAAGGGGGTAAAAATGCTCTGTATTGAGGTGGCTAAAAATGGAATGGGTAAAAAACAGATGTAAACGGACAAGTGGTCTTTTATGTATGAAAAAAATTTTGAAAAATTGGCTCCAGGACTCAAATGGTTAAGGACTCTAGCTTAAAAAAAAAGATGAAAAACTGATGTAAGCTTTATCCTCTTTTTCTTTGGAAAAACATACTGAACAGGGGCAGACTGACCATTTGGAAACTCGGGCACTGCCCAAGGTCCCAGGGTCAGTAGGGGGCCCCATGAGATGCCCCTGGTATCTTTTTCATAGGCTTTTTTGAGTTTGGGCAAGGAAACAGGGGCCCCATGATCCCCTATTGCCCGGGAGCTTCATGAGTTGTCAGTCCGCCCCAGGTACTGAACCGATGAAACAAACAGTCCGCATGTGTGAAAGGGGCCTAACATGTTCCAAAAGGTGAACCTATGTGGTTTTAAGTACATTTCTCGTTTTTCAGAAATGCACTGCAGTCCATTTAATATGGTTTCCTATGGGACATGTTCACATCTATGCATTTTCAGCCAGTGCATTTTTGGTGTAACAGACTTCAATGGAACTGCACCACAAATGTAAGTGTTGCTCTTTTTAATGCGTTTTGCATTTATTTTTTTTTGCCAATAGGAAAGTATTGAATGCAACTTTGATGTAAATGCACAATCTCTGGCACTCGTATCCATTCAAAGTCCCATTAAAGTTGCATTAAAGTTGCACGCAATACTTTCCTATTGGCCCCACAAAATTGCACCTTAAAACGTGTCAGGAAAAACACATGAATTGTGAGATGTATAGGTGTGAACCTAGCCTTAACAAAGATTGTATAAAGTGTATGAATAAGATCAGATTGTAGTGTGTATGAACATCCATAGGTTGTTTCTGCCTCTTCATCGTCCAATTAACAGTCTGTAGATGGGAAGATGAGACCTCTGTACTCCTTGACTATAGCACAGAAGGTTGTGTAACTTTCCTGGTAGGGTTGTAAAAATAATAAAATTGGCTGGACAAAATCACAACTTCTTTGGAAGACAAGAAATTTCACATATCTGTACTTCAGCTGTGTATTTAGTTGTTTGTCTGATGTTCATCTTTAAACAATTTGATTTACAATTAGCATTACATGTTCATCTAAATGTCCAGGCACATGCATTACATAAAAAAGGATTTTCTCACACGGATATGTTTTTTTTTTTGTTGTCAACGGAACGTGATACACATTAGCTTGGCTGCATCAGGAGCATGCCTCAACCGTGCAGTTAAAAGATAAATGTTCTTACATAGTACTACACATACCAGAGTACAGTGAATTGAACGTCTTAGTTCAAGCTACTGGTTACCTGTCTTCCCATAAGAACGATGTTTCAAGGCACTGCTCTTAAAAGTTTCATAAGAAAAAAAAAACTTGAAAAAGACAAACTAAAGACAGATGGTGTTTTAAAATGACATAGGAATTTAAAGTCAAAAGATGCTTTAGGTTTCCTAGAAGAAATATGCAGGAAAAATATCAGCACCTATGCTAGAACACTTTTAAACTCAGTATTCTGTAGATAGATGGCAATGTGGTCAGTTCAGCCAAACTTTGATCCATGAACTGAGTTATGTACTGATAGCTTAAGTCTGGTTCATACTACTTGTAGATGCAAACTGCTGATCAAAGATAGGTGGAGTGACAATCAAAAGCTCAAGCAATGATTGACTCCACTCAGCGATAACTGTAATCAGGGAGCAAATAACCATCCCAGGGATTAATATTATTATAAACTGCAGGGATTCCAGTGTTAGCTATATAGTGTATGTTATAATGAGGCTGAACAATGTTCTTTTTGCTCTTTCTACAGTTATATATTAAAAGAGCCTACCTGGATATAAGTTGTACAGATATGTAGGTTGGTCCTTGGCTTCAGGTATTCAATAAGCAATCATTTTAAAACATTTATATTTTGAAAATTTTAACTGACTTTGGCATTTCAATGTATTTTCTGAATAATACATACTTACCTGCTGGCAGTCTTCCATTGAATGCATGCTGAACTGTGCATGAGCACCTCAGCATGTATTCCTGCTGCAATCCAGCTATGTCTGAATGACTGACCCCCCTCAACTAGTAAGAGGAAGACATTAACAGAGTCTGACAAGGGGTGTGACCAGGACCGGTACTAGCTAGACTATTTTGTGCCCTAGTCAAGAGAAGCTACTTGCCCCCCCCCAAAAAAAAAATAAAACTTACATTTTTTTTCCATAAATCCATTAAAAAACAGAAGCATCAGTGGTAGCCATTATCAGAGTAGCTCTGTATGTGGATGAGAAGAAAAAGACAGGGGGAGGCACCACAAAGTGCAGTATTAAAAGACCAATTTAATAAGCAAATAGTGTTAAGCACACACAAGAAAGAAATAAAATGTCACTTATCATTGATAATGGTCACTGTCAGTTCTTCCCGTCCCAAGGATTGGCCAGTGTGGGTCTGGAGCTATGAACAGAGAGATAGAGAGATGCCAGGATGCTGTTGGACAACTGGAAGTGCCTGGGACGTCTTGGAATGCATATGAGTTGGACGTGACATCACAGGGCAAAGGTCCAGTGCCTTGGAGGACAGGCTACACGCTCAGAGCTCTCTTCTCCTTCTAGAGGCCTAGAGGCACATTGCTGTATCCACTACTTATGGGCACAGCAGCTGCTAGCCGGCTACAGATACCAGCATAACATTGTATTGCAACAATACAATTATATTAAAGTAGAAAAAGCAAAGTGATCATAAAACCAGAGGTAAAAAAACACTCTATGTGATACAATTCTCAGCAAGCAGGAAAAAAGAAAGAAAAAGAGGAAAGTGAAGAGTAGGGAAATTGCGGCTGCACCCTAGGTGGCCTATTTCGCCTAATGGTAGAGTGACCTTGGGTGTAACCACCACATTGCTGGAAGATAGAGGTGAATATTTCTGGAGGTTTAGTTCCACTAAACATAAGAATCTAGTGGATTGGTGGTTATGTAATACTGTACTTCCTTTTTCCTTCCTTCATGGGTCTTGTGTACAAACTATGAAGAAAAGGAAGACATAGAATTTATGTTCATATTATATGACGGATTAATTTTGTAACTTAAACATGGCCACTATACCAAGATAATTTAGTTTTCATAGGAAACAGCTTCAATTTCCTTTTCTATAATTTTTCTTCAGGTTATGTTATGACTAAGGCATTCCAAAATCACCAATACAAAGAAAACTTTGGGGGGCCATCCATAACAGAGAGCTAATATCACTAAATGCTTTCCATTGGACACTAGCCACTCTGCACTGCGTCTATCATTTTACATGCTATTCCTAAAATGTAAGGGTAGCAATAACACTGCACAGAACACACTGTGTTTAAGCTAGGTTCACATCTATGCAGTTTGCACTTGACCCAGACAAGAGAAAGTAGATAGAGATTTTTTTCCATTTATTTTTTTTTCTTGTTGCTAGGTAGATTTAAAACACAAAAATGCATCAAAAACATGGCATAAACGTAGCAAAAATGCCCTACATGCTTTTCTGCAGAGTTTCCATTGCAATCTAAAGAACCAAAAACACAACTTTTTGCGTTAAAAAAAAAGTCCCTGACCCTTTCCAAAAAATGCATCGGGTGAAAACACAGAGATGTGAAAGTGTCCCATAGGAAATCATGATAAATGGATTTAGTGCGTTTCTGCAAAAAAAGCTGTGGAAAATTCTTGGGTGTGAACCAGGGGCGGACTGACCATTTGGAAACTCGGGCACTGCCCGAGGGCCCAGGGTCAGTAGGGGGCCGCATGAGATGCCACTGGTACCTTTTTCATACGCATTTTTGAGTTTGGGCAAGGACACAGGGGCCCCATGATCCCCTATTACCCGGGGGCCCCATGAGTTGTCAGTCCGCCCCTGGTGTGAACCTAGGGTAAAGGATAGGTTGATCACATGACTTTCACAATTTATGGGACAAAGCTGTCCTCCTCCTGGCAATTTGTTTTTGATTCAGTGTTGAGTGTTTTTATGATGATGCCGCTGCTTAACAAATGGCCCCTTAGTGACTAGAAACTTTTTTTTAACTCAGTACAAGCATTATATACAAACTTTATATCTCTGGAACTTGAACAGAGAGCAAACCTTAGTATCCAAATGTGATCTTTATAGAAGTAAAGCTCTCTGTTTTTGATCATCAAAAATAGAAGATTGTAATGCAGATTCCTTCACCTTTCAAAATGTTATCCTTTGCAATTTAAAACCTTTCATTTGTTTTATACTGCTTTGAAATGAATTGTTTGATATACCAATAACACTGGGGATAGAACTGAGAAAATAACAAGGAATATCCTATCATTGAAAATGTTCATCTGATGTGGATCTTATTTCTGTTTATGCTGTATCAGCCATGCCTCCATTTGGTAAATACACTTCTCAAATAGATAGCACAAAGCACTTTAAAGACTGGATGGCCATGTAAGCTGAAATGTGTCATCTCCTCCCAAAGTGGTTTTGCATTTCTTTTACTATGTGAATAATGTCTTGAAACGGTATCCAGCAAAGATGTATGAAGATTGAAGAGTGGGTAGTAATTGAAGGCAAGTGATTTTAGTGTTTTAACTTCAGAAATCAGATTGGATCTCCTAAGAACCAGGCATCACTTTCTCAACCATCTAGTCCTGTCTTTACCGTTCCATTTTTTTTCCCTGTTGGCATACTTAATGCATTCTCAATCGTTGCAGGTCTATTTCAGCTCATCTATTACAACACAGTTAAAAGGAACCCGCTGTGTAACTTTCGTTCTGAGTGCTGTTGTTCAAGTCTTAATTGGATTACCTAGAATTCTGTTTAATGTTGGCAATATTTTTTCTATAAACTTTGTAAAAAAAAAAACTCAGCTTGCACAGATTAGTCATTTTTGATGGAAAAAAAAACCTTGCTAATTCATCTGAGTGAGATCTGATATCTTAATATGTAAGGGAGAGCAATAGTGACCTGGGTGTTCTGATTCTCCGCCAAATATTTATTAACAAAGGCGGTGTAGTAGTGGCATAGGTTAATCAGATAGCACAACATGCTGGTAGTGATTGCAGGCAATTAAAACTGCTTAAGCTTATGTGACAAAGATCGGATAGAGGTTTCTTTCAAAATATATTTAAAGTCAAGAGAGCTTTGTTCGAAAATTGTAAAGGTTATTTATATAATACCCCAGCAACTAATGGAAGGTGACAGAGGTTAGCCACTTTTAAATTCAAATTTGATAGCAGACTAAGTTCATACCATGCACTAACTTTATACAACATGTATGTCTGCTAATATGTTTAGGAATTTTATAGAAAATTAAGATGAGAATAATAGACACAAGAGATTAATTGATGATAAAGTAACACTCCAGTTATATACAGTCTTTCATTATAAGTCCAGGCAAGAGCTGAGATATTTGTCTGGGATGCATTTGCCTTATCATGTTCTTAGGATAAACTCTTCTCATTTCTCTCTTGGTACTCAGCCTGTAACTCAGACTGGGTGCCAAGGTCCACACTACCTGCAATGACCAGATGAGAAAGTCTGTGACCTTTGCTGATGGCAGAGGTCTAACAAACCTGTTCATGCAAACACTGCATTTTGACTGGCATGTAACTTACAAAATGACTGTCACAAATTAATGATACTATGACACCTGGGAGAGATTTACTAAAACAGGAACACTCAGAATTTATTGTAGCTGTGCCTGGTAGCCAAGCAGCTTCTAACTTCACATTGTTCACAGCTGCACCAGATTTATCATGCTCCAGCTTTAGTAAATCCCCACCACTGTATTCAGATATCCCCCTCCAATTCACATCTGAGGGATCATTAAATATAAATAGTGCAAATACGTGTGTGCATCATTAGTCAGCGATGAATTTGCTAAAAATGTGAACCGTGAACCACACTAGACAAAAGTGCTCAATAACCCCAAATACAAATTAGAATCCCCCACATATAAATATTGCAATAAATGAAGTCCAAAAACACATCAAATCATACTGCAAATGATCAAAACTCATGCAGGTGATATTCGTGTGATCGTGGTCATAGGTGCAAATCCTCAAATGGCCAAAAATGCCCCCTCACCTCCTTACAATGACCCCACAGGGCAAGCACGCTTTTAGGATCCCCCACGATCCTCACAGGTGGTACTCTTCATGGATCAATACCCCACTTGTGTTCATCAATGGTGGCACTCTCTCCTCTCCTAATAGGTCTCTTCTACTCACTGGCATCAGCAATACTCTTTACCCTCCAAACAGGACCCCAGTGATGAAACAAAAAGATCCTCCATAGTGTGATAACGTTTTTAATGAAACCAAAACACACTGGTAAAAAATGCCTACTCACTTGTTTGTAGTTCAATATACACCTTTACACCACATACTATGGGTGTACTGCATGGGTATAGGGTGTACCAAGATGGCGCCCACGCCAGAAGGGATGTCACCACGTACTGGAAGTTCCTCCCCACGTACATTACCCGTTACGTCACACTAAATCAAGTGACTTCTTCAGGATACCCTGAAGAAGTCATGTGATTTAGCATGACGTAACGCGATGACGTCACAAACAAGTGAGTAGGCATTTTTTACCAGTGTGTTTTTGGCTTCATTAAAAACGTTATCACACTATGGAGGATCTTTTTGTTTCATCACTGGGGTCCTGTTTGGAGGGTAAAGAGTATTGCTGATGCCAGTGGCTGGAGGAGACCTATTAGGAGAGGAGAGAGTGCCACCATTGATGACCACAAGTGGGGTATAGTACTACCTGTGAGGATCGTGGGGGATCCTAAAAGCATGCTTGCCCTGTGGGGTCATTGTAAGGAGGTGAGGGGGCATTTTGGCCATTTGAGGATTTGCACCTATGACCATGATCACACGAATATCACCTACATGAGTTTTGATCATTTGGAGCACGATTTGATGTGTTTTTGGACTTCATTTATTGCAGTATTTATATGTGGGGGATTCTAATTTGTATTTGGGGTTATTGAGGACTTTTTTCTAGTGTGGTTTACGGTTCACATTTTTAGCAAATTCATCCCTGGCTAGTGATGCACACACGTATTTGCACTATTTATATTTAACCTCCTTGGCGGTATTCCCGAGTGTACCTCGGGGTAACATTTCAGTACCAAAAGCGGTAACCCCGAGCTACACTCGGGAATACCATGCGGCACTGCTCCGGCATGTGTTCTTCACTTACCTTACCCTGCGCTCCCACGATGTGTCCCCTGCAGTGTCCCCGGCCATCTCCTCTGGCCGATGCCGGCATCCGGCTTCTGTCTCCTGTCCCTGTGACGTCGGGACGTACGGGCGCCGCCGCCGCCGGCGGGAAATTTAAAAATTTTAAAAAATGTCATTTTTTTTTTTTTTTTCATTTTACTCAGTAAAACATTGCTGTTTCAACCTATTTCACATACATATTGTCCCTAGTGCTTTGTCCTGCGCCCTGCCTGCATTTTGTCTGTTCTTTCTGCCTGGAAACTGAGAAATGTCCATGGCGTCCAAAAAGTGTCCCTTTAGGTCAAAAGCGGTTTAGATCAGCTAGAGAACAGCGATAGTAAATCAGAACCACTTACAGAATTGAGTGATAATGATTCGTGGGGGAAATTCGTCATCAGAAACTGAAAACGATTTTGCGACTGAGCTCAGCAATGTGCGAACTTGGCGCTCTATTTCACATTTCAGTGTTTTTGGTTTGATTATATTATTGAATTAAATTTTTTATTATTTTTATATTATTTTTATGATTATTTATTAAATTATAATTTATGATTTTGTGTTTCAAATTTTATCATACCCGGGATGTTTACTAGACTCTTGTTCGGACAGATTTCAGTGAGTTTTTTCCTAAAAATTACAGCCTACAATAAAAAAAGTACATATTTCCATGCAAAAAAATGGTACCGCTTTCAGCACCAAAAATCTGAAATAATCATACCGCTAGGGAGGTTAATGATCCCTCAGATGTGAATTGTAGGGGGATATCTGATTTTTTTGTTAATTGTTTGTGCACGTGTTTATCACTGTAGCATGTATAGCAATGTTTTTACACTGTTTGAGGGAATTTGTATATAGCACTGCACTATTTTATATATATTTTTCATCACATACACCTTGGGGTGAAGTATTTCAGTTCCAGCAGGTTAGAGATTAGGATTACCCATATAAGCACAGGTGGACTTTATATCACCACTGTATTGTGTATTTCTTGTTCAATATTTTAATTGTTTTGTGATAAAGAAGAACCAAAAGTTATGGCTACAGTTTTCAATTCACAATCAAGTGTTGTCATTTTCAGGGTACTATATGATTTTCAAGGTCAGTTATGTATTGCCAAAAATCACATATTTCCTGAGAAATGCAATCTGTCATTTGGTCAGAGGTCACTTTAAGAGCTTTTTGGAGCATTTTGTAAACTTTTCTCAATAATGCCTGTGGCGAGAAACTTTCCTTTGAGGCTGTAAAACTGTCATCAACCTCCAGATCATATTTCTCTTCCTCACTTACAGCAGACTGAATGGTGGAAGGTTGGCAAGGTTGGACTGCAGAGAAGGAGTGATGAAATTGTCCCTACTAAAATGGTCTCTAAAAAAAAAATATAGTGCTCTAATAACAGAACTGAATACTACTGAAACACAAAGATGATTGCCATCTGGGCCATTTTCTTTATCTCTCATTAAGATTAAGATTTGGGTTCAGATCAAAAATGGATTTATTTTAATTGGGGCAAACTCAGACTGTTCACCATTCCAGGACCATCCTTGGATACTATACATAAGCAAACAGCTTGGAATCACAGGATGTGATTGATCAATCCCCCAGGACTCTGAGTGCTATTTATAATACAGCAGTGTCTGGGGATTTGTCATTTAGTGGCGGGAGTGTGGCGGGGAATCATTGAAGGGTGCTTAACCACCATCATTGTGCAACAACTATCAGTTAAGGC